GGGCGGCTTGAGGAGATAAAGCAGAAAAAAAAAAAAAAGAAAGATTGGCAACAGTTGTTAGCCCAGGTGCCAATCTTAAAAAAAAAGAATGCATTTCAACTCCTCCAAGAGGAAAATGGTAGTGTACTAGAGAGTTCCTAGGAAGCTTAAGAATGTGGTTCTACAGTAGCTTGATATGCCAAAATACTACAAATAGGATTGAGAGAAAGAGACATTTCTCTAAAATAATTAGGGTATTGCTTTTGACACAGGGTTGAACTAAAATCAAGTATATAGAAAACTCACAAAGCTTCTAAGAAAGCCATATTAACAAAATGATGTCAGCCTGCATTAAGAGACACAAGACTCTTTGCATCTCAAAATTTCTAAAGACATGAAGCAGACTGACAAAGTTACTCAGCCACCAAAATGGGCTCATTCTTCAAAGTCCTTTTCAGAAGGAGCTTAGGATGATAGAAAATGAAGAAACTCCCAGAGAGTGGAGCCAAGAGCTGGAGAGAACAAGGACTGGGGACCATTCCCAGAGATTAGAACCACAGCCTAATAAAGGAGCATTCTCTACCCACAGAGAAGGCAGAATGACAATATCTTCCCAATAGGATGTGGTTTCACAATTGCTATGCAGCAGTGAGTGCTGTGGGCCCCCAATAATTCCCTCTTTCAAATGGGAGTTATTGTGGCAGTTTTGTCCTTATTCCACCTTTACACACTGGGAGTGTGTAGTTGTGTGGGTGGAGGGCTTTTTTGTTCATAAGTCTTTGGCTTTTTTGTTCATGAGTCTTAAGAGGAGCTAGATTCAGACCGTGAGTAGAACGTGAGGTACTGGAGTTTAAGAATGATGCTATGATTGGGTGAGATTTTTGGAGATCCTAAGATGGGGAATGAATATATCAATATTTTTTATGTGTGAAGGATATAAATAATTGTGGTCTGGAGGTACACAGTGGCTGATGAATTATGGGCATCCTTGAATCCATGTTTGCTATGACCTCCACATGGGTGGGGTATATGTTTCTACCCCTTGACTTTGGGCTTGACAGTATAAATTGTCTTGGCCAATGGCATATGGGTGGAAGTGACAGTGTGCCAGTTCCGAGTCTGGGTCTTGAAAGGCCTCATGAATGTCTCTTCTGATCCTATTCAGCCTCTGCCATCACCATGAGTAGAAGATGCCATGGATTGCTTGCTGGTCCCAGCAGGATGATACATTCATGATGCACAGGTGCCCCAGCTGAGCCACAAACTTTCAGTGAGAAGTAGATGAGCCCCACTGAGTTCAGTCTGGATTAGTCAAAGCATGTCAGCTTTCAGAAGTGGACAGTAATACAGGACTACTCTTTAAAGTCACTGAGTTGGCATGGTTTACTATGATATGATGGGTGCTTGATACAGATGAGTAGGAGTTAGGAAAGGAAAAACTGTTTCTTTGCTCTTTTCCCTGAAAGTTCTTAGAGGGAAAAAGAATTATACTTCCTAAATCTCAGTTTTATAAACTGAAAAATGGAGTTAATAAATCTCAGTTTACAAGTTTTTTTGTGAGAACTCAGTGAGAGTGAATGAAAGTATTTTGTAAACTATTTTTTAAAAGTCACGGAAATTCATTTAAAAATTATTCACCAGAATGAAGTAATGACACATGTATAGGGGAGGAAAAATTATCCTCTACTCTCTTTGTGTCTCTGGCTGGCCCTAAGAATTAAACTGACATAAGACAGATTAACAGGAGAAAAGCATACAGACGTTATTAAATTTTTACATGTACATGGGAGCTTTCAGAAGAGAATGAAGACCTGAAGAAGTGATGAGAGCAGGGAGTTTTCATATCTTTTAGACAAAGAAACAATAAATTTGTAAAGAATTGACAAGACAGAGGGGTTTAGGCTATGGGTAGTATAGGGTGAAGAAGTAACAAGGTTTGTTTACAGGGCCTGCTGGACTCTAAATTCCCTGCTTCTGGTGATAAGGATGTCCCCCTTTCTCCTGGTACAGGGAAGATAACTTTCATAGGGGAGATTTATCTCCTGCTCTCAGGGAAAAAAGACAAGAGGAGGGAGGTCAGAGTGACCTTCTTGCTTCTGCAGGTTTCTCGAACTCCTTAGGCTTAAGATATTCAATATGCCAAGCTGCCATATTTTGGGGTAACTTGTCTTGAACCCCATTATCAGCTTCTAGAGGCTACCTGCATCCCTTGGCTTGTAACACATTTTTCTAACTTCAAGGCCAGTAGCACAGCATCTTCACAGCTTTCTACCTCTGACCTCTGCTCCTGTTGGTATGTCTCCTTCTCTGACTCTGACCCTCCTGCTTCTCACTTATAAAGCATTTGTGATTTCATTGGGTCTATTTGAATAATACAGGATAACATCTCCATCTCAACATCCTTAGCTAGATCACATCTACAAAGTCCTTTTTGCCACATAAGGGAACATATTCATACGTTTAAGGGGTTAGGATGTGGACTTTTTAGAGAGTTTATTAGCCTGTGTACCAAAGATGCCAAAACTCATGCATGAAAATTTGAGGAGTAACAGGGTATTTACACAGCTTCAAAATGTCTCCCCCACAAGAAACTTACTAATTGCAAAGAGTAAAATAGCAACTTCGTGGTGAAGTGTGGTAGACACCATTTTAACCAAGTGATCAAAGTTATAATGGCAGTAAAGGGACTAAGCGACAGCTCATATCTTTTTATACCATGCACTGAGAAGAACATCATTTCTGGGGAATTCCTGCCAAAAATGAATAATCTGAATGTAATCATGAGGAAACATCAGATAAACCCAAACTGAGGGACAGCCCATAAAATAAGTGGCCTGTACCCTTCAAAAATGTCAATGTGAAATATAAAGAAAGACTTAGAAGTTCTTTCAGATGAAAGATGACTAAAGCGAAATGATAGCTGAAAGCAATGTATGACCTTGGATATTGTTTTTATGTGAAGGATATTATTGGGACAACTCACAAAATCTGAACAAGGTGTATAGATTAGGTAATCATATAATCACACACTTCCAAATCAGTCCACTTCACTCCACCTCCATTAACATTACCATAAGTCCAAACCTGCATTTCACCTGAACATCTGAAATAGTTTCTGAAGTGATCTCCCTTCTTCTACTCTTGACCTTGTTGATGCAAATAACCAATAGCTGTTCTATAGGTAGGAGAGACAAGGTAAATTTTACTTGAGCCAGGCTGAGGACTATAATCTGGGAAGGCAGTCTCCACAAAGCAAGAAAGCATCCCAGAGAAGCAGGGGAGGCCCCAGGTGGCCTGCTTTCTGCTTCTGTTTGATTCTCAGCACTTAGCTATGAAGCCCCAGATGGCCTGCTTTCTGCTGAAGTCTCCTTCCTGTCCCATTCTCAGTCTTTGCTCTGACTGCGGGGGACTCTTCATGTCCCTTCAACCAGTTAGTTCATTTCTGCTTTGGAGCTCCTGTGCTCACTGTTCCCGCTGCTCAGCACCTCTTCTCCAGCTTCACAGGGATGGTTCTTCCTTCGTCCTCAAGTCTCAGAAAATCCATCATTTCCTCCAGGAGGCCCTCCCTAACTTTGCCAGCTAAAGTAGCCCCCACCCCACCCATTTCTCTCCATAATATTACCCAGCTTTTTTCTCTCATGGCACCATACATTGCACATGGTTGACACAGTAAAGATGATACATTTGTTGGGAGTGAATGAATAAGTAAAGATATCAATACAAGACTAGGCAAAGGAAGGTAGGGGTCAAGTTTAACACTATTTTAATGCCCCCATAGTGGGTAGCACAGGATTGGGTTCATGTCTAGTTTCAATAAACACTTAAAACATTTGATTTTTGGAATATTTGAAAGGCATCTTTAAGATGAGGCATGATTTATCCAAAAAGTATGAATGAAAACTCTATTTTCCTTGAACAAAAAATATCCTTTTGTCATTGTGACAGACTTCAGTATATCACTGTGAAATGGGGTAAGTATATTTGTTGTGAGAATGCAAAGATACAGCATAGGTGAAAGTGTTGTGTAAACTTTAATAAAGCATTATTTTACAGAATCTTGAAACACTGAGAAGCTGTAACTTGCTTAAGATGAATAGAGCCAGTGACAAGCAGCACTTGCTTCCCAACTCACATCTGATGCTTTTCGTTAAAGCCATGCAAATAATATTATAACAACACACTAAAGATGAAAACCACAGAGGCATATACACAGTAGTAACCCAGTCTTCCATCTTACCAAATCAGCAATTTCAATGTTCCTGATTCTTTCCAGAATGTGTCCATTTGTAACCGCAGTAATAAAAATTTGAACACTTTAAATACTTTTTTTTCAGCCTAGTTTTACAGTTGGGTACTGAATTATGTAAAGTCCAATATACTATGCTTTAAGCCATCATTTTAGATGCTTGACTCAGTTCTAGAATCCTCTATCCTGGCTCTCAAAATATGTTTTGTAGATTTCTGGGGGGTTCTGTTACACTTTGAAGGAGTCCACAAGGTTAATACTATTTCCATAATCATAATAACAATAATAAATAGTACTGAGACATTATTTCTCGTTTTTGCTCTCATTCTCCCACGAGTGTACAGTGAAGTTTTCTAGAGCCTGCCTGCATGATCTGTGAAACCCAACACTGAATACAGAGGCAGATGTGAGGATCTAACCATCTTCAAGCAGGCCAGACATTAGATTTTTGTGTTAAAGAATGCCACACTTCTCAATAACGTTTACTTTGGAAACAACAGTTATTTTTCATAAAACTTTTTTTTTAAAGATTGTCACATGAGCTAACAACTGTTGCCAATCTTTTTTTTGTTTTTTCTGCTTTTTCTCCCCATATCCCCCCCAGTACATAGTTGTATATTTTAGTTGTGGGTCCTTCTAGTTGTGGCATGTGGGATGCTGCCTCAACGTGGCCTGACGAGCGGTGCCATGTCTGCGCCCAGGATCCGAACCAGCGAACCCTGGGCTGCAGAAGCAGAGCGTGTGGACTTAACCACTTGGTCATGGGGCTGGCCCCCAGACATGTTTTTTTAAATTAAGCTATAATTGGTTTATTATTGCCATTTTAATATAAATTAATAAATATATATATTTTTAATTTCTCAGTTTTGATCTGTAATGCCATAAATATTGACAGATATGACCCAAATGAGCAAAAGATCTTTGAGGTCCTCAATAATGTTTAAGTGTCTAAAGGCAGCCTGAGGTCAAAAAGCTGGAAACCATTGCTCTCCCCGCTGAACCTGAGCCTCTAATCCACCTGGTCCAGTATCCACCTGCTCAGCTGGGACCTTAAACCTTAGGCCATACTTGATAACTAGTACTAACTCCTTGTTTACTGTAAGGACACTTGAACCACACCAGATCCAGAGGTGTCCTCATCCTTCATCTTTCTTCATCCCAGCTGTAGGCCTGGGGAGCTTTAATGTGTGGTCTGGAAATCCTGAGGCTGGGTTGGAAATGGACCATCAGCTCTGGGTCTCCATAGCTGTAATAATGGAGCTTAACCATGCCAGCAGTCTTGGCCCCATCACACCTCTCTGGTCCTGCTTCCTCTATCTCTGACCTCCTTTTGTGGTTACTGCCTCCCTTCTTACATCCTAGTGTATGCTGTTGCCCTCACCCCAAGATCACAGTGTCTGATGTCAACTGGAGTATCAGGCTGAATGTGTCACTCTGATGTTAAAGTAGCAGGTTTTCTGCCTGTCACTTTCTCACACTTTCTTCTTGGTTGGGAGTTATGTGGCAGCACAAGTTTCCTGAGACTGGACCAAGCCCCATGGTTACAAGTATATGAGTTACTAAGCAACAGCCTAATGAGGGAGAGATGGGGCTGGGGCCTGAAGAGGGTGTCAAATGGGACTCTGGAGGAGGTTCTCTTATGTGACCAGAGGGAAGGAGGGCCCGTTTTCCTCCATGGCGTGCTGCGCTGTGGTATTAGAGATGGCCAGAGCTTTTCTACTTGGCTCTGAGGCCAGGGAATTGGTCCTGCTGGCTGTGGTGGGTCCCGGCCCTGTGAAGGATCAGGCCGCCCTCAGGCACCATGACCCCCTGGGCCCCTGTGAACGCTGGGCAGATGAAGAGCGGGCTGTCATCAGACCCCAGCCTGAAGAAGGGTCTCAGGGGCCCAAAGAAGGTTGAACGGGGACATGTGTAGATGTGTGATCTGTCCCTCATGTTATAGAAGGAGACATCTCCAGCTTCATAGTCCAGGAAGATGCCCACCTGGCGAAGGCGCTCTTTCACGGGGAGAATCTTCTCGGGAGAGGACAGGGCCCGGTACTGGTTTCCAAACATCTCAAAGGTCCAGAAGCCATTCTGAGGAACCAGGAGGGCCTCCCCTTTCCTCTCAACATTGTCTCTACAAACCCCCACTGCCCACACCATCACGTTTTCAACTTTCACTTCCCAGTAATGTCTCCCTGAGGAGAAGTTCTCCAGGCCCAGGACACAAGGCCGACAGTCAAATCTCTCTGGGTTGTCGGGCACGCTCTGCCTGAAGGGGCCCCGTCTCACGCTTCTCCGGTCTTCTGACAGGAAGAGCTCAGGATGAGCAGTGTCTGGGTCCAGGACCACATCAGCTGCAGGGGAAGACTCAGGTTTAGGCCTGGGGTCTCAGGAGATTGTGTGATTCCTAGTCCCCATAGAGGTCCCAGAAAGCTGGTGGGAGATCCCCCATGTGGCAGCCTTTTCCATGAAGGCCCCTTGATCCCAGGTGCCAGGCAGTTCACAGCCTGAGAATGACTGAGGCTGCACCTGTATCTCTTGAGTGACAGGAGCATTGCCTCAGGTAGAGGATAATTGGGGCTCTAAGAAATGCAGAAAATTTAGCAAATGAGGCGGAATTAATGACTCCTATATTCTCTCAACATTCTCAGATCTGCCTCCTTTTCTATTCAAGACCTATGATCCCAGGGAATCTCTTTAGCTAGAGACTTTCCCACTTGTTTTAAACCAGGAAAGAGGCCCTATCCCTCTCCCAATGAAGCACTTAAGGCCTATTTCTCCCTACACAGGTTCCTGGGCAGTAAAGGGTCTCTTCATTGATCTTCTGTGTTCCACCAGTTTAGCCAGATGACAGCGGATTTAAATGACTAACAAGGACACCCTTCAAAGAGTAAAAAAGGAGGATAATGTCCCCAAAAGCCAACCTGCTGCCTGAGAGTTGTGAATGTCAAGAGGTACGGGGAACTATTTCCATCCAGCTTTGCTTTAACAACATGGGTCTGAGTCTGCAGCTGTGACTTCTCTGGATATAGGAAGTACTTGAGACTCTGAGATTTCTGTAGACTAATTACTTAGTCAATTTACATCTCCATTGTGTTAAAATGAATTTCTCCTTTCCGCAAGTTGATATGTCTGACTGTGACAATTTTGAAATTGAAAAGAGGAAGGAAGAAAGGTCCCAGTGCCATGGTATCTGGTGAAGCCTGGCTTCTTTGGTGCTTTTGAGCAGAAAGTGATAAATCACAAAATGCAAAGTGCTCATTAGCACCAGGCAAGTGGCTCCCCTGCTCTCCCACTTGCCCACCTCCCCTCCCCTCACAGGCTACACACAGAGCATCAGTGTCTCTTGGAGCAGGAGGCATTTCTGGCACCTGTCTGTGCACCCCTGAGACAGGCTGGGGAAGCTTATTGCCTTTCCCACACGTGGCTCTTCAACTGTGCAGTCCATACCATCTCCCAGGTTATAAATGGCTAAGTCTGTATTGTCTTCTTTCAAATTAATCCAGGATCCACAGAGCAACAACTACTACACTGTAACCTTTGTGGAGGTCAACTATGCATGGTAGACCTCTGTCAACATGGATTAAATTATTCTAAAAAGCAAAGTTTGGTGGGAACTAAGCCACAGAATTGATTAAGACCTGTGGGGATTCCCTCACAGAGCATCTGGGCTTCAGCTTTGGGTGGGACACTGCCAGTGAACTGACCCCAGTGCCCTGCTGCTCCCCAGCCAGCCTTGGGGTCCCTTGTTCATCCCCTCTAATGCGTCTTGTAGGCTAGCTAGTGGAGTTTCTCAGGAACTGAGGGAATGTCAGGGGGGCTCACCAGCATGTAAAAGGGTTCTTCTCCATCCTGCAGGGGGAGACAGAGAGGTGAGCTTCATGAGATAATGGCTAACCAAGGAGAAAACAAATTGTGCCCGGAGTAGTTCAGGAAATGCTAAACTTACGCAATTCCTCTTGAAGTTGCTCTGAAAAAATAAACAGAAACAAACGAATACCCTCAATCGAGGAACTAAAAGAATCTAAGGTTGTAGTCAGCAATGAGGGATGGACTTTTCTATGAACACCACCATCCCCCCCTGCCTAGGGAATTGACAACATACGAGAAATAATATATGATGAGGTGGCTAGAGATCATCAGTGCTGATTTAGGTCTGCTTTATTCAACAGTATAGTGCTACTTGTAGCCGGGTGAATGGATGCAACAGTGGCAGGATGGAAGCAAGCTCTGAGGATTCATTCCTGAGACAGGAGAGTCCCAAGCCCTTCCTCTGCCTCTATGCATTTCCTCTCTCTGTTTCCCAGGCTGTCAGCTGTCAGAGCTGTGTCCTTTGTGTGACAGTGAACTGTCCTCGTACGCTTTTAACTTTTATGTAATGTTCTTTCTCTTTTTCACACATTCTTTTCCCATTCCTTACGTGCAATTTCTTTCTCTTCATTTTCAACCTCCTTTTCCCCTGAGAGAATCTTTTTCCTGTGGAATTTGTTGATAAGACAGATGCTCCCGGAGATGAGGAGGAGCAAAGTAGGCAGGATGACAACCAGGACCACCATCCAGGGAGATGTGGTGGGAATAAATGATTCTGAAAAGAGAACCAGAAAAGTCCCATTTAGTGAGAAAAAGAGACCTGGGATGAAAGCTGCCCTCAGGACTCATATCTAAAGAGCTCCCCCAGGTCCCTGCTCTACTGGCTTCTCTCTCACAAACCCCAGATAGAGAAAGTGTCACTTCACACTGATTCCCAGGGCTGGGGACCCAGGAGACAAAAAGCAGAAACACCTGGAGTCACCAAGAGAAGGACCAGGGTGAATAAAAGCTAACCAGCCATCCTGCATCACCACGGCCACCACCCTGGGACTAGCCACCATCCCTTCTTGCCTAGAATATTGCAATGCCCTCCTCCTGCTTCTGCCCACACCCTCTGCAGTCTGTCCTCACCACAGCAGCCTAAGTGAGATCATGTTATTTCCTTGTTCAGAACACTGCAATGCTTCCTATCTCACTCAGACTAAACGCCAAAGTCTTTTTGTGGCCTACATTGCCGTGTATATTCTGGACCTAAGGCCTCTCTGAATTCATCTTCTCCAACTCTCCGTGCACTCAATCCATTCCAGCTGCCCCTGCCTCTTGGAGTTCCTCGAAACTGTCACACATACTCTGACTTCAGGTCCTTTGTCTATGCTATTCCTATTATCCAGCTTGTTCACTCCTCAAATATCTGCATTTCCCATGGCTCACTTGCCCAATTGCCGTCTTTTCCACGAAGCCTTACCTGATCATCCTATTTATAGTTACAACTCCCTCATAGCACTCCCTAACCTCTTTTTGATTAACTTTTTCTATAGTATTTATCACCATCCAATATAATCCACAGTTTAATTAATGATTTCACTCCTGGTTTTAATTACTTCATTTATTGTTCTCTGCTCCTCTAGAATGTGAGCTCCATGAGGGCAAGGATCTTCATGTATTTTGTTCCGCTATTTACCTTTGGTTTCTAGAACAGTGCCTTGAACATATGTGATGCTTGTTAAGTGTTTGTTGAATGAATTTATGCATGTCTGTAGATAGAGAATTTCCCTGCTCTGTCCCTTGGGAAACCCCATGGGCAGGAAGGGAGGGCTTCAGCAGGCAGCACCTCTGGGTGTAGATAGACACACGCCCAGACCACTCTCCTTTCTTTCTGATTGTTCTAAATGTTTAAAATTACTGCAGGATAAGGACCATAATAGGGAAAAAGCAATCAGATTTACCCTCAGAGAAGAGGCTCATACTCCTGTGTTTTGAGACTATTTGATTTTCCCCTTGTGACAAAGGAAGAGGGCGCAACTCAGCTGCAGCTCCAGGCCTTCAGGTCCAGGATCCTTCCACTCTACGCTCCTACCTCACCATCCCCACTCCAGCCTGCAATCTGTCTGCTGAGGATCCAGCCTCCAAACAATGAGTCTCCAGAGGGCAGGGAGCTAACCTGGAATGAAAATCACAGTTTCCTTCTCCTGGCCAAGCAGGGTGTTGTTGATGGAGCAGGACACATTCCTCACAGAGCGGTCCCTGATGCTCACAGCTGTGGTGACCATGAAGAGGCTGTCTGCATCCATAGTGTAAGTCTCCTCCAGGGCAGGCATAATCTTACCATGGGGGTCCCTCCAAACCACCTGGGGCTCTGGGTACCACCCTACAGATGTACACTCCAGCCAGATGCCCCCATCCTCGTGGATCTCCATTTCAATGATGGGTATAGAGCCCAGGCCTGAGGAGAGAGACCAGGGCTCGGATAAAAAGGCACTGGTGTCTTAGCCAGAGTGTCTTAGAAGATCAGCTCTTAATGGCGAGAGCCAAGGGAAGGGGGTAGAGAGCAAGGGTCCACTGCCCAGAGAAACTGATCATGCATATTCCATGCATTCCTGCAGTACCCCTTCTGTGAAGGGAGGAAGGAAACAAAGAAAGAAGGGAGAGACAGAGGAAGAAAAGAAGAAGATAGGAAGGAAGGTAGGAAGGAAGAAAACTGACGTTGGGAGAAAACCAAGAGACCAATATGCCAAATAAATGGTGAGATCTCTAAGGAGAGAGGATTACATTGTACTTTTCTTTGTGCTCCCCCTATAGACCCCATCACAGTACCAAGCAACTGCCTCCTAATAAATGTTGGCTGATTGATTCATTCAGCTAGAGATTTTAATGTTCTCACTTCTTTGTGGGTCTGTCCACTCTGACCTAAAGAAGTGGGTTTAGAATTTCACTTTTGGCCCTGGGAGGGCTTCTCAGTAGCCGTGGCTTCCTGAAGCTCTAGGTAATATGATAAGGACAGAAACCTGCCAGGCTGGCGGAATCATAAGAAACATTTTAACCTCAAGCCCATGACCTTAACAAACTAACAAGAGTCAGGAATAGGTAGTGTTCTATTTGTTGATGTGAGTAGTGGTTATATGGATTATAGTTTGTAATAATTTGGTAATCTGTCCATTAATGTTTTATGACTTTTTCTCTATGTGTTGTATTTCACAATAAAAATGTCTAATTCTAAAACATGTTACTGAGGAAGGCCCTGAGGGAGCCTCAAGAAGTAAACATAAGAATGATCTGTAGAGATTCAACATTCTCCCTGTTCAAGGCTACTGCTGAGTTCTGTGTGCTTCTCAGGAGTTGATGCCCACAGCTTAGCAGGGAAAATCCGCTGATTTGACCCTTGGGCAGGAGGAAGCCACCCTCCCTGTGTAAAGGGGACTCTAGGCAAATATCTGCTTGTCTGCCAAGGGCCTGTGGTTAGAAGAGAAAGTTTCCCCAAGAGTCACATAGTGAAAAAGCAAGGGAACAAAATGAAATGACACACCTGCCACCATCAGGCGCATGGTGGCCTCATTGTAGGATTTGCCTTCTTGGAAATAACAGTGGTAGATGCCGTTTTCGTGGGCTGTGACGTTGTGGATGATCAGTGCCACGCTCCCCTTGCTGATCTCCTCTTTCACAAAGGTTGTCCTTCCTCGGTACTCCTTCATCTGCTCCTCTGTCCTCTCTCGCCCGCCCTTATACACAAGCACTGCGGGGGAGAACTGAGAGCGGAACCACCGCACCTCCATGTCCTCAGCACTTTTCTCAGGTGACAGGTGACAGTGTAACATGCTGTTTCCTCCAACCATGGCCAGGATTGGATCAGCTGGCCCCACGACAGTAAACTGGTCTGTTCAACAAAAGGGTAGAATAAGACCGGGGCACCAGCCATCACATATCTAAGGCAGGAAAGGAAGGGCATATTCCAGGGCACAGACAGATTCTTTCTCCATTTCTAATATATTCTTTTAGTCATATTCTTTCTAAGGCCATAGGGGCTTCCTGGGCTGAGGATTCTGGGGGCCAGTAGCTGTGGCTGGTCAGCAGCAATAGATGCCTAGTAGGAATATCTATTGAGGCTACTAATGCTTCCTGAACAAAACACTGAGATGCATACACTGAGCGCCCCCTACTGACCCTGTGCTCACAGAGGTTTCCTTCCATTCCCCAATCTAGCACAGTGCCCGGAGTAGAGTATAAACATGAGCTGTCCAATATGGTAGCCACTAGCTGTTCCCAAGGCAATGTGCTGTAAATGGAAAATAGGCACAATTTTGAAAATTTAAAATAAAAATATTAAATAACTTACTGTTAACATATTACAATAATTAAAATATAAATAATATGTTTGTTTTGGGGGTTAAACAAAATATATTATTAAAATTTGTTTCATCAGTTTCTTTTTTACCTTTTTTAATGTAACTAAAAAATTAAAATTTTGTATGCAGCCGGCCTTTGAGACGCTGATTGTGTTTTGATGGGATCATTCTGGTACAAATTCAATGAGCATGTGCAGAAGGAAAGATGAATGCACACAGCTGCAGCACTTCTTCAGACTGCAGTGTTTTACAGACTGAAGTGCTGATTTTCCTTTCTGAGAAGCTGATAGGAGCTAGTGGCAGGGACCCTACCTGAGACCAGTGCAAACAAGCTGAGAAGGTGGAAGAAGAGAAGGGCATTTGGCAGGGAGAAATGCAGGGCAGCTGCTGGCTCCATAAGCACCAAAGATGAGTCACCCAGGAGGGACAGGGACCAGAGACCTAGGGGCACAGACAGAGAAATCAGCCAAGGAGACTTGACACTAGTTCTGATCTGGGTCAAACCTTCCTGTAACTCGTGTTGGGATCATCAGCACCCCACCTTCGGTCTTGTGCAGCCCCCTTCCTCTCCGGGTTCAGGTTTCTCCGGATAGATTGATTCATTAAACATTCCATGGAATAAGCCAACCACACGAGGATGAGGGAGGCAGTTTTCTGCCCTCCTCCACTCACTTCTCTGGCCAGAGTTGAATTTCTTCAGTCGTCACTTAATATTCTTCCATACCCTCCCTCCCCTCCCTTCCCCCTCCCTCAGACTTTGAGGCCTGAGGTAAAGATAGTCGTGGAGAGCCTCTTCTCCAGGAAGCTTCCCTTCTCCAGGGAGCCCCGCCTTTCCCCTCATCAGGTTCCCTTCCTCTGCTTACCGCCCCACCCACACCCTAGAGCTGTAGAGAGAGCTTCCCCTCCCTTTCGTACCTTCTAGATTAACTTCTTGGGTTTCTTTTCTCCTCTGACACTCAAATGATGATTTTCCGCTTCTCCCTCTTCTATTTAACCCGCTCATGGGCACAGTCACAACCAGAGAGCAAGCTGTCCGGAAAGCAGAGAAGACAATTTTCTTAATCTCCCATTAGTCGCAGTGTGCACAGCTGTGGGACCAGAAACCTGGTCCACTTTCCAACCACAAAGTCCGAGTATTTCCAGAGTGGTTTGGAGGTCAGGATTGGCCGGCTGTGGGTCAGCCAGCCAATGGTATCCCTGAGCCAGCTTTCTCACCAGTTACTAGGTAAAATACACAGAAACAAATTAAAATCCCACAGCTGCGCATAGCCTTTGAGATGATTTAGCCTTTTTCTTTACTTTTTCTGTTTTCAGAAGCGAGATACTTCCCTTTCTTTCTTTTTCTTTTTTTTTTTTTTTGTGCAAAACCTTGACATTCCTCGCGCATTTTGGCCGTTGCTGCAAACCACAAAGAGGCCTCTGTGTGTAGAAGTGTGTATGTAGTAGTGGATGTGGTTGGGGGTGGGCAGGTGATGAGGTAAACATGAACAACCTGCTTTCCAAAGCCAGAGGAACCTTTTTCAAGTTGTTCTGCTTATTGGGGGCCGTGCAGAGATAAGGGGGAACATAGGGAGTGGTTGGAGGGGCAGAGAATGAAGCAAGACAGCAGCTGCAGTAGTAGACTGTAGACCTTGTCATTCACTCAAAACCCATTGAGGGAGAGATGCTGAGGCTAGTGAGAGGCAATCCCCTTTCTCTCAGGGAGGCGGCATTCTAGAGGGGCAGGAAGATGGCAGCGAAGACTTTCTAGTTGGGCTTCATCCTCTGCCAGTGGATGGACCTGTTGAGTCCAGCACCCTCCTACGCCCACACAGTGCTCTCCTCCCATACCACAGAGACCCCAACCAGGCCACTGTAAAGATTTCTTCTACAATAATCATCCTGAAACACATTTCTTCACATTTCCCTCAAGAACCTAAAGGCTTTCCCTGGAGGCCTACAATTCCTTTTTGTTTGAATTTTTTTTCACATTATCTCATTGAGGTGATATTGGTTTATAACTGTGTAATTTCAGGTGTACATGATTATATATCGGTTTCTCTAGTGACTGCATTGTGCTCACCACTAACAGTCAAGTTTTTATCTGTCCCCGTGCATATGTGCCCCTTTACCACTTCGCTCACCCCCTCCACCCCCTTTCCCTCTGGTAACCACTAATCTGTTCTCTTTGTCCATGTATTTGTTTATCTTCCACATTTGAGTGAAATCATACAGTGTTTGTCTTTGTCTGGCTTATTTCGCTTAACATAATACCCTCAAGGTGCATCCATGTTCCTGCAAATGGGATGATTTTGTTCTTCTTTTTTTGAAGAAGAAGATTAGCCCTGAGCTAACATCTGCCGCCAATCCTCCTCTTTTTGCTGAGGAAGATTGGCCCTGAGCTAACATCCGTGCCCATCTTCCTCTACTGTATATGTGGGATGCCTGCCACAGCATGGCTTGCCAAGCGGTGCCATGTCCGTACCCAGGATCCAAACCGGCAAATCCCGGGCTGTGAAGCAGAATGTGTGCACTTAGCCACTACACCACTGAACTGGCCCCAATTTCATCCTTTTTAATGGCTGAATAGTATTCCATTCTATGTATGTACCATATATCTTCTTTATCCATTCGTCGGTCAATGCTCACTTGGATTGCTTTCACATCTTTGCTATTGCAAATAATCCTGCCATGAACATAGGGGTACATAAATCTCTTTGGACGGTTGATTCCAAGTTCTTTGGATAAATAGCCAGTAGCTGGATAGCTGGGTTGTATGGTATTACTCTTTTGAATTTTTTGAGAACTGTCCATACTGTTTTCCATGGTGGCTGCACCAGTTTGCATCCCACCAGCAGTGTAAGAAGGTTTCCTTTACTCCACATCCTCTCCAACATTTGTTGTTTTTTTGTCTTGGTGATTATAGCCATTTTGAGAGGTGTAAGGTGATATCTCAGAGGCGTAAATTTTGATTTGCATTTCCCTGATGATTAGTGATGTTGAACATTGTTTCATGTGCCTGCTGGCCATCTGTATATCTTCTTTGGAAAAATGTTCATATCCTCTGCCCATTTTTTGATTGGGTTGTTTGTTTTTTTTGTTGTTGAGTTGTATGAATTATTTATATATTTTGGAGATTAACCCCTTGTCTGATAGATGATTTGCAAATATTTCCCCCAGTTGATGGGTTGTCTTTCCACTTTTTTCCTGGTTTCCTTTGCCTTCCAGAAGCTCTTTAGTTTGATGAAGTCCCATTTATTTGATTTTTTCTTTTGTTTCCCTTGTTCCAGTAGATGTGGCATTTAAAAAGATTCTTCTAAGACCGATGTCAAAGAGTGTACTGCCTATACTTTCTTCTAAGAGTTTTGTGGTTTTGGGTCTTCCATTCAAGTCTTTAATCCATTTTGAGTTAATTATTGTGCATGGCTAAAATAATGGTCTACTTTCATTCTTTTGCATGTGGCTGTCCAGTTTTCCCAACACCATTTATTGAACAGACTTACCTTTCTCCATTGTATGTTCTTGGCTCCCTTGTTGAAAATCAGCTGTCCACAGATGTGTGGGTGTATTTCTGGTTCTTGATTCTCTTTTACTGATCTGTGTGTCTGTTTTTGTGCCAGTACCATGCTGTTTGGGTTACTATAGCTTTGTAGTGTAGTCTGAAATCAGAGACTGTGATACCTCCAGCTTTGTTCTTTTTGCTCAGGGTTCCTTTGGCTATTCAGGGTCTTTTGTTTTTCCATATAAATTTTAGGATTTTTTGTTTTATTTCTGAGAAAAATGTTGTTGGAATTTTGATAAGGATTGCATGGAATCTGTATATTGCTTTAACCAGTATGGACATTTTAACTATGTTATTTCTTTCAATCCAAGAACATAGAGTATCTTCCCATTTCTTTGTGTCTTCTTCAATTTCTTTCAACAATGTTTTACAGTTTTCAGTGTACAGACATTTTACCTCTTTGGTTAATTTCCTTCCTAGGTATTTTATTCTTTTTGTTGTGATTATAAATGGGATTGTATTCTTAATTTCTGTTTCTGCTACTTGGTTGTTAGTGAATAGAAATGCATGTGATTTTTGTATGTTGATTTTGTATCCTACAACTTTACTGTATTCGTTTATTATTTCTAAAGTTTTTTGGTGGATTCTTTAGGATTTTCTAGATATAAAATCATGTTATCTGCAAACAGTGACAGTTTCACTTCTTCCTTTCTAGTTTGGGTCCCTTTTATTTCTTGTTCTTGCCAGATTGTTCTGGCTAGGACTTAGAAAAGTGTGTTAAATAAGAGTGGTGAAAGTGGGCATCCTTGTCTGGCTCCTGTTGTTAGAGGGATAGCTTTCAGTTGTTCTCCACTGAGAATATTTTCAGTGGGTGTGTCATATATAGCCTGTATTTTGTTGAGGTATTTTCCTTCTATACCCATTTTATTCGGAGTTTTTATCATAAATGGATGCTCTATCTTGTCAATTGCTTTCTCTGCATTGATTGAGATAATCATGTGATTTTTATTCTTCATTTTGTTAATGTGGTGTATCACGTTGATTGATTTGCTGATGTAGAACCATCCCTGATTCTTTGGAAAATTATCCTGGATTATCTGGGTAGACTCAATCTAATCACAAGTTCTTAAAAGTGGAAGAAGGCAGAAGAGCCAAAGAGATTCAAGGGAGGAAGAACCTAGAGAGATTCAAATATCTAAGGGACTCAAGCTGCCATTGCTGCTTTGAAGATGGAGAAAGAGGGCCACAAAGAAGGTAGCAGCCTGGAGAAACTGGGAATAGCCCTCAGCTGACAGCCAGCAAGGAATGGCAACCTCAGTCCTACAACTGCAAGAAATTGAATTCTGCAAACAATCTGAATGAGCAAGTAAACAGATTCTTCCCTAGGGCTTCCAGAAAGGAACACAGCCTGCAGACACCTTAATTTTAGCCAAGTGAGACCCATGGTGGACTTCTGATCTACAGAAATCTAAGACAATAAATTTATGTTGTTTCATGTCCTGAAACTTGTGATAATTTATTATGGTAGCAATAGAAAACTAATACAATAAGGATTTGTGAAAATGTTGCAATGAAGTAAACTGTGAATCTGTGGGGAATAAAACCATGTGTGCTTAAAATCTAGAACATGCTCAGTTGAAGAGGGAAGATTATTAAGAAATTTTTTTGACAAATGTAACTTGACAACTATCTGCCGTGTAGAGTGGATACAGTAATGAACAATAATAGTGATCATAATGAAAAGTAGCCTTTCCCCAGTATCCATCAGTTGAAAGGAACTTCTGTTAACATAAATGAATGATCATGGGTGGAAATATCCCTTTCCTGTAGATGTATTCTACAGAGTGATAAAAAGACCACAGAAGTTCATCTAGCTTTCTTCTTCCTAAATTCTTACTTCACAGACAATTTTCAGTTATTAAGTTAGGCTTCCTAGAGATCTTCAAAGTTGCAGGATTGATTCTGGTTCCATGATCATGCATTACATTGACAGAGTGGGTACACGTGTGCCCATTATTAGTTAAGACTCTAGTCCCTTCACATTCTGTATGATGCAGTCCCTGTGAATTCATTCTCTGGATCACGTCATCCTACAGAGTCAATCCAATGAAGTGCTGGAACTATGTCTCTGACAATCAGTCTTGAAGTTACCAAGTGTGGTGTGGCCTCCATAGTCACCTACAGTGATCCTCACCCTGGGGTGCCCTGGGAAGGGAGCCTCAGGGCTGCACACAGTCCCTTCCCTACAGGGACAATGGGACTGGGAAGGAAAATAGGCTAGAGGGTGGGGGTGGTACAGTGGTTGAACCTCTGCCTGAAGCACAATTTTCTGTAGGAAGTATATAAGTACTTAACTTGGCCTGGCCTCAGTTTCCATATTCTTGAAATGAGATACCTCACAGGGTTGTTGTGAGGACTTTTATGAGTGAAATTCACTTAAAGCATTCAGCATAGCACCCAGTACGTCTTAAGTTATCTATAAACATTAGTTATTATTGTTCAAATTATAGCTGTCATCACTTGCTGAGTCACTAGTGGAAAGTTAATTCACTTTTTTGCACCACAATGTCCTTATCTATACAAGGAGACAATAAAGTGGTACCAAACTCAACCGTCATATTCAATAAGGGAATTAATATTAGTGAAGTGCTTCACACAGTGTGTGAATTTAGTAAATATTTTATTGTTGTGATGTGTTGCTGTTAAGGAGGAGGCCCTCAGCTCCAGGCTGGGCAGAGGGAAGCAAGGATGTTACTTTAGCCTGAGGGTTCTCATTCCCATCAGCAGACCCAGGGCCACTGGGGTCTCCAGGGAAAGGTCAGTAACAAGAGAATTCTGCATTCCTGTCAGTGCTGGACAAATGGTCAAGGCAGGGGCTCCAATGTACAAATTTGGAAAACAGGCCTCAGAGGCTCAGAGAAGGAGTTGTGTGGGAAGGTGTAGATATGCAATCCATCGGTGGCATTGTAGAATGAGACCTCACGGATGTTATAGTCCAGGAAAATACCCACTCTTTGAGGAAGGTTGGCAATTGTCAGGTTGGTCTGGGGATCAGTGAGAGCCCAACAGTCATTCCCATCAGAGAGAATGGTCCAGAATCCATTCTCAAGTGCCATTTTAACACTATTTTTTCTCTTCACGTTCTCTCTACACACCCCGATATGCCAATCTTTCCTGTCCCCCACCTCCGCCTCCCAGAAATGTCTCCCTGACTTGAAGCTCTGCAGCCAAGTACACAGTAATGCCTATCAAATCTCTCAGGATTGTCCGGCAGGTTCCGTCATGCATCTGCCCGCTGCAGGCTCCTCTGGTCCTCAGAAACAAGCAGGACGGGGTTTGCTATGTCTGGATCCAGAATTGCATCAGCTGCAGAAAGTTTGTGGAGGGGCCGTGGAGTTATCCACTGTTCTCAGAACTCAGAGCCTCAGCCTTCAAGACCTGAGTCTGGCTGAGGAGGTCCGAGTCCAGAGCCTCTTGTTGCCTGCCTGCTCTGCATGTGACCCTCTCAGTAACACCCAAAGAAAGGCCCTGGAGTCTTATGTTCAGCACAGAAGTGTGCTAGGATCAGGGTTTACCTAACTGGACATCTCAAGCTGGCTCCTTTCTTCCATCTTTTTCCTATGTCCCTCCCCAAAATGACTGCTCACCTGTGCTTTATAATCGCATAGATTTATATTTCAATCCTTGCTCTACCACTCATGAACTGAGTGTCTGTTCCTTTTCTACAGTCTCTTTTTCCACAGACCCACACTATATAATAACTTTGAGCTTCAATTTCCGTATTTGAAAAATGAGGGTAAAAGTACCAATCTCTAGGGTAGAAAAAGACAACACATGTTTTACATGTAGCCCAGGGCCAGGCGTGGAGGAAGTGCCTGATGTTATAATAGCTCCATGCTTTTCTGTGCTAGAGGCCATGTTGGGGACTTTCTGTGCTCCCAGATGCACTCTCCACCTTTCTCTACCCTCTTCTGGGCCCCAGGATCTGTCCTCTATGGACAGCATCACTGGTCTCCCTTCCCTCTGGTTACCTGTTGAGTTTGGCCAATGGAAGTTACTAGCTGAAGATTGGAAGAAGAAAGAAGAAAGAAGCACAGCGTTTATTTCTCCCACTTCCTCCCTGCCCGTGTCAGATGGTGATGCTCTAACAAAGGCGTGACTCCTCTCAGGCAGCCCTGTCCTTGAGCTATAGCTTCCTCTAGGCTCCAGGAACTGCTCGCTCTCCTTATTCCTTCAAGCCTAGAGATGGTGACATCTCCCCAGTATTCTGAGTCCTGGGGCACTTCACTTTCTCTTATTGGTTTCCCTTAACCGCAGTCCTGCCTGTGTGAAGTATTCCTTTTCTAAACCTTCTTCAACCACCCAATTTGAACACGCCACCTCTATCTTGTTGATCTTTGAACAATAAACATTCATTACTTCGTTAAGTCTTTACCTCAACCCTCACATAATAAGAGTTATGATCATCATTTAAAAATAAGGAAACTAAAGGCCAGTAACATTAAGTAACTTGGGCACACACAGTAGCAGGAGGTGGCATAAGAAGCTTGGGAAAAGTAAAGATTTTTATGCATTGCCTTTTTCATGGTCATTCCACAACCTCACACTCCCTGCAGGATTAGTTCACTCTGCCTCTCCTTCCCTCAGCCCTACCCTTTATGCCTCTTCCTTCACGTGAAGATCTGTGGAACCCCAGAACAATTCTCCCTGGTTCTCTGGGCTCTCAGTAGGAAATCTCCAGAGATGGGCACACCTTTGAGACAAAGACCTGAAGTCACTCGCTCAAACCTCTCCCAGCTATGGGGACTTTTTTTCCCAGAATCTCAAGAGTTGGAGAAGAGAAAGGGAATATGATCCTTCAGGTTGTTGTCCTAGGGAGCATACAGTGATTCACTCACCAGCTTGGAAGAGGGCCATCTTCCATTCTGAAAGGCAGGAGACACAGATAAGGAAAGTGCCTTATTTCTGTTCTTCCCCTCATCAGTTCCCCTTATGAAGCCTTTTCGCCCTTATTTTCTTCAGTCTCTTCCAGTGTCCAGATTCCTTCATCTACAGCTGTGCATGATCAGCCATACAACCTCTCAAAAATGGTGGACTTCCTTCCCTCCATCATGCTGGGACTGCAGGCATCATGGCCAGGCTTTGCTACGGTGTGGGAAAATGTGCCAGCAGGGTGATGGGTGGCTGAAAATTCCCAGATACTATATCTGGAAGTTTCTCTCTGAGGCTCCAGAAAAGCAGGGTTGGTATCCCCCACAGAAAATGAGCCTCTGTGCTAGATCTAATTATTCCTACTGGGAATGTCAGTTGGTCACACAGCAGAGAAGAGATTTAAATCCTTAGTACACATGTTCCAGGAAACTCAGAGAACATCAGAGTCACTCACCATCGTAGTCCTGAGACTTCTCTCTACCTACAATGGAAGAAAGTTAGAGATGTCACCTGAAATAAGTCATTTCTGAGTCTTGTCCTTTCTCTTCTTTTGAACCCATCTAATCTTTCCTTTTGACCCTCACTCCCACTCTTCTTACCTTTTCCTTCTGCCTGTTCAACTCTCTCCTCTCCTTTCCTCCTTGATGTCAAGTCTGATAACATCAACTGCATGCTGATGATACCACAGGTATGATGTGAGTGCTTTCCCAGCTGAGACCCGGCAGATCTATTTGTATCTATCTATCCTCCCATACCTGGGCATAGGTGTCACTGTGTGTAGCCTGTCTGTGTATGTGTACTAGAATCCATCTGTCTCATGCTGTATTATGTTCTGCCCACTTCTGAAAAGAACTGGGCAACTTAATGAGGAAATTTCAATTACTATTTTTTTAAAAGCAAGTCTAATAAATCTATCACAACTGAGCCTTTGCGGCCACTCCTTTTTTTAAGTACACTTTTTTCTCTCCTTCTCAGATTTTTCATTCCCTTAAACCTTATATTATTTGTCTTCTTCTCAGAAGCCTACAGAGTATGTAAAGCAACTAGGAAGTTTCCAAGCATAGAGAAGGCAGTTCATTAGGGAATTCCATCCTCCTCCTCCTCCTCCTTTCCTTTCAAGTGCATCCTGGATATTCCCTGGTGCCTTACTGGGCTGGAAAGTCTGTGGGCCCCTAGTGGAGAGAGATTGAATACCCTTTTCTCCATTGAAAAAACATGACTCCTCATTTTTTCCCCTCAATCAGTCACCCTTCTTTCTTTCCCTTGGTAAAGGGACCCTGGACATTTCTCAGCCCCAGGCAGAGTTAGGGGTGAGGAAAGGGGCTGGGAAATATCCCAGCAGAGAGTCTTAGATGGAAATTTAGAGAAAATTTCAGAGCCACTCAGGCATGAGCCATAAACACATGGTCTATCTCTTAAGTCTGCAACAGAAGTAACGTGAAGAGTCATCAAGAAGCTCAATGCAGCAATACCGAGTCATGGGTGGGTCTCTGGGGGAATCAGAGCTTACGTAGTAGAAGCTGGAGGTACTCTGGAAAATAAGCGGGAAAACAATTTACTGTTAGGGGATGGAGCAGGGAGGACCTCTTGAAAATGAACCTCATTACTGACACAGTGTATGGGTGGGTGTTGGGGTGGGAAGGGGTGAGGTCCTTGGGCTCCCTCCCCTAAGTCAGGGCCATAGGTTCCCTCCCTGGTCAGATCCTTCTTGCACTTTGTTCCTGCTCGTTTTCTTCCTTCACTGTTTCTTTTTCCACTTAGTCTCTCTCTTTCTCCTTCTGTAGTCACCACAGGAAGTAACCAGCCCCTGCGAGAACCAGCAGCAACACAGGCAGGGTCGCAGCCAAGGCTGCTATCCAGGGCCTGGCCCTCCAGAAGAAGGGGTCTGCAATGGAATGGAGCTTTAGCCTCTCACCCCCAGGGCAGGGATCATGGAGCTCATCTCATGACCTTAAATAATCTCTCTCTTCCTAAAGTCTCAGGGAACTTTGGGTAAGACTTCGGTAAACTCTTCATATAACATAATACTATTACTTGTCTTGAACTGTCTGCTTCTCATATGTGACTAGGAGTTACTCGAGCATCAGAATCACATGTGTTTTCTAATTTAATTTTTAATACGTTACATTTACATGGTTCAAATATCAAAAAATTATGAAAAGTCATCTAAGTCTCCCATCCACCTACTCCTCCCTCCCCATTCATTAGTCTCTCATTAGTCAGCTTAGTGTGGTGGTTAAGAATATGAACTTTGGCGCTGGAGGTTTTCACTCAAATTCTGGCTCCTCCACTTGACTGGCAGTGTGATTAATTACTTAACCGCTCTGTTCCTGGTGTCCTAATATATAATACTGGTTAATAACAGTATTTCACTCATAATGTTAAAAGGATTCAATTAATGCTTGTAAGGTGCTGGACATATGGTGAGTGCTACAAACGTGTGTATTAAATTTTAAAAATAAAATATATTATTACGTTTTCTTGTTTACATCAAAGGTATCATTCTAGACAAAGTGCTCTGTATGTGGCTTTTTCTGTTCCTCTTTGAGATCCTGGCATATTAGTACAGAGAGAAGGTCTGTGTTTTCTTTCCCAGCTGTGCAATATTCCATTGCATTAAAGTTCCCCACTTGGGGACATTTGCATAGTTTCTAACTTTTTGTTATTATAATAACTACTATAAGAAATAAACTTTTACATGTGTCCTTTCATACAAATGCAAGTCTATCTGTCAGATAAATTCACAGAAGAGGGATTTTTGATCAATAAATAAGTTTGGAGAAATACTGCTATATTGCCCCAAGTGAAATTGTACCAATTTATACCAAAAATATACCGAATTATACCAACAAACATGTAAGAGAGACTGTCTCCCCACAATCCTGCCATCAAAATGTGTGATCTGTCACCTTGGTTTTGCTTTGTTTTATTTTGTTACCAATCTCACAAGTGGAAAATGTTTGAATACATGTTCCTCTATTGAGTGAGATGGGACATTATCTCATGTGTTATTTCCTTTTCTGTGAACTAATAGTTCAAGCCCTTTGCTCATTTTTCTACTGGGTTGTTTTGTATTTTAATGAGATTAGCTTTTTCTCTAAGATATGAATCGTTTTTATTTTTTTCCCATTTTCTCATTTGTCTTTGTTTAAGGGTCTGATCTTTACCATCTTCCCCCAATTCCCATTGCCTGTCACAGTTTCTTGTGTACAGGAAATAGTTAGTAAGTAGTTGTGACATAAAAAGCTTTATGGGGAAAAGAAACATCCCTGGAGTAAGAAGGTGGCTCTGGGTCCCTGCTCTGTGCCTTGCATTCACTACAGAGACCCAAGTCATCAGCAGAGAATCACACATCCTCATTCTTTCAATAGCCACAGCCCAGCACAGTATACCTGAGGCTAAGCAGGGTACTGACCTGCAATGGAAATCCTGTCTGTCTTTTCTTGCTTAAGGAGGGGATTTCTGATGATACAGGTCACCCTGTGCCCAGAGCTGCTTTTCACCAACACAGACGCTGCAACTGCATACAGGCCATCTCCATCTGTCTCCAAACGTACTGCCACAGCTTGCATATTCTCTCCCTTGGCATCTCTCCACTGTATTTGGGGCTGTGGATAACAGCCAGTGGACATGCACTCCAGATGGATCCCTTCATCTCCGTAACCCTTCATTTCCATGTGAGGATCAGAACCCAGCGCTGTGGAAGGATAAATGAGCCAGAATCCTTTAGAGCCTCCTCTATCCATGAGAATCTCAACATGAATCAGTGGCACACTCACCTTAGATAATTCAAGGGGCTTTCATGAAGGGGCTTTTTACAAAAGCATGGTGATGGTAAGGGGAAAACTACCTGGCAGGAAGCAATGCTCCAGGGCCAGGAACAGTGGAGCTGTTACCACTCACCCCTAAACCCAAAGGGAGACGGAGAAGAAGGCCTTTTGAAGACGTAAAAGGAAACGGTCACGTAGAGGGGGCTTTCTTGAGAGGAGTTGTGATCTTTGGGAAGGGAATGCAGCCAGCTAGAGGTGGTCTTGCTGAGAGAAATCCATGGGGATAGGTACCTAGGCCTCTCTCTTCTCTCTCCATCCTTCTCCTTCTGCTATGGCTGCCAAATGACCAAATCCAGCCAGAAGCCACAGAGCAAGAGAGTGCCCTGAGAAAGAGAAATGCAAATGCAACCCTTGACATCTGGACATCGGCCTGGTTTTGGTGTTCTGTTGAACATAAGCAATTTCATGGAACATCAACATCAGACAAGGGAACTTTGACCGGTCAAGATGAAAACAAGACCACTCAACAATTCTGTTTGAACACAGAGAAAAACATGAACACTGTCCACACAGTCATGACAAAACATTTCTCTATCCTGGCTATGAGTGACTGCTGCTCCTTGACGAATTACAGCTTTGGCCTCAATCTAGTCTTTCTCCTAGGTAAGACTCATTAAGACACCTACCCACAGAATCACACCCCCCACCTTCCCGATAGCATCCAATCCAGAGCAAAGTCCCACTTCTATAAACCCTCCCCCAACACCCCTAACCTAAGCCCAAATTCCATACCAAGTCTAATCTAACACCATCTTACTGAGACATCCAACTGTTCCCACATGGCATGTGTTCTCCTTCCTGGGAACAAGTAATAAACACAACTTGGTCAACTGCAGGTGTGCTCCTGGAGGCCTTTGGTTGGGCAATATTGGCAGCCCAGATGCTGTTTTGCACAAGAGCCCCCCAGGCCCGCAGCAGCATGAAACCCGAGGAGCCACAGAAGTTATCTAGAACACAATTGATCCCAAACAACTGTGTGCCTTCACTGAGTAGATATTTTCTTATCTCTCCTATCCCCGACCTTCTCCTTCCCGCCTTAGACCCTGGGTCTAGCATGAGGTAGTTCTTTATTTGACATTACCGATTACAAGAGGGATTCTTCCCGGAGGAAAACCTGTGTCTTTCCCAAGGACCTCAGAGAAACAAAGTAGGAAGGTGGTGGAGGTAGATCCTAGTGACCAGCCAGGATGCTCTGAGGTGTATTCAGGAAATATGCTCAGAATCCTTCCTCTTTTGAACACTTTCCCTGCTGCAGCGAGGTTTAAGCCTCCACTGGTATACTCTGATTAATGCAAGACCCTCCTTTCTGGGTCCCCTGATTCCACCTGTGTCCTCAGTACATCAACTAGAGGGTTCTTTGAGTCACATCAAGCCACTCCTCTGCCCAGCAGCTTCCGGTGTCTCTCGTTTCACACAGAGTAGATGCTGAAGTCCTCACAAGGGTCAGCATGACCATCTAGGACCTGCACATCTCACTTCATCTCCCCTCTCTCCTCATCTGCTCCAGCCACACTGCCCTTCTTGCTGGTCTTTGAAAGGGACAGGACAGAGGACACAAGCCATGACTCTTCACTGCCTGAAACCCCCTTCCCTCAGATATCCACAAAGCTCACTCCCTCATCTCCTCCTATAAGTCATTCCTCTAAAGTCAGTTCCTCCATGAGACCTTCTCTGTCCACAAGATTATGGGAAACTGCTCCCATCCTCCTGAGCCTGCTCTCTTCTCCCCGTTGAATTTTCACCATCTAACATATCACGTGTTTACTGTCTCCACCAGCTCAAATGGAAGCTCCCCAAAGCAAGGATATTGGTCTGTTTTGTTTCTTGATGAGTAACAAGCCTGTACAACAGTGTATGGTTCAAATGGAACCCTCAGTAAGTATTTGTTGAATGAGTGAATGGATGAGGGGTGACATATTAACTCGCTAATACTCCCTAGCATTTTAAATAAGTTTAGGTGATCACATTTACTGGTTATTGTCCAACAGGAGGGGAAGTGGAGAGTTGTGAAGACAAGCATCTGCCTCTGTAATGACCTGCTCTTTTGTTCTGGCTTAAAGAGCAGAGCCTGGCTTCCTGTGCTCCCACTGGGACTTGCCTATATTAATGTCTTCATTCTTATTTTTCAGTAAAAAGCGGTTTCAAGGAGAAAGTACTTCCTGGACATGCATGTAAGAGTGTTACAACTCAGTGTACCTCAGTGCACTCTGTTCATAATTGTTTTTTGGGAGAGAAACAACGTGGGAAGGGAAATTATTTACTTCTTGTCTTCCTTTTCCCCAGGTGTTCATCAATGCTCCTTGGCAGGTGGCCTCTGGGTTCATCGGCAATGGATAAGTTCCTTGGTCTTAGTCTTTCCACTGATAGGGAAGTATCTTTTTGAGGCAGAGATGTAAGAGCTGGCTCTTACAAACAAGGGGCTAATATGCCAAGCCGGGAGCACATAGAAGCCTAACAAAGCTCATGCTTCTGTGAAGTTCTGAGGTTCTCTCCGCTCAGAGACAGGATCCCTGCAAAACCCCACTCCCTGCCCAGTGCTCCCAACTGTATCTTGGCTCAGAAAAGCACCTCCATCATCTTTTAGGTATAATCTGTGGCATCATAGTGAACCTTTGTGATAAGGGTAGTGTGAGGCCCTTACCAGGCGGCTAGGCTGGATTATAGCTGGAGTTCTAGCTTGGCTTTCACTCTAACCACCCCAGAGTTGGCTGTATCCCTAGACAGTGGAGAGCCTGAGAGCCGTCCTTAGTGGATTATTCTACAATAAGACTGAGATCTCCAGACCCAGCCACCTTCCTTCTCTTTTGGTCCTCTCCCATCATGTATTCCCTCCTTCTATGAAGATGTCAAGTAGAATAGGGTGCTAACAAATGACTTCAAGATTTGTACATCTGAAGAGCAACACTGAAGACTACTTTAATCCCCAACATACATCTATCACCAGGTTCAAATCATGTCCCCATCAGACTCTGGTTAAGATCCAGGCAGACTCCCTGGTGGAGGCTCTGAATTCAGTCAGAGTCTGCACCCACCACTTCTTAATAACAAGACTAGTGAATGGGAGAGATAGGAATAAGACCAGGTCTCTCCCATCTTTTCATTCATTCATTCAACAGATATTTACTGAGCACACATTATGTGCCAGGCCCACTATGTCTTAGGGATAGAAACAAAAAGATGGTGGAAAATAGGTAATGGCTCTATGATTCACAAGATGTGCGATCTCAGCCACGTGACAAAATCTATTTGAACTTCAGTCACTCATGAAACAATGTGAAACATGAACTTTGGAACATGCATAATTGGCCCAGAAGTTCCACTCCAGACATCTGGTCCAGCAAAGCAATTGCACAGGTCCAGAGAGAAGCATGGGTGAGGATGACACTGCAGCATATTTTTAAAAGTGAAAAGTAAAAGCCCTGGCTTTTACCCATTACCCCTCCTTACCCCTGATTTTTATCACTTTTCCCCACTTGCTCCTTAAAATTCAGATCTGAGGATCACAGTCCACAGAATGAAGGTAGTTGATAGTTCTGCATTATAGTTAACACGCTGCTCTGGAAGAAAGGGTAAAGAAAGAAAGAAAGGATTCTCACTCTGAGAAACAGTAACAGAGTCCCTCTTCGGGGGAATTAGATTTTGATTGGCTCATAGGGGTGTTTCTCATCAGTTGCTGGGCAGACACCAGTGGGGTTAGAGTGAAAAATGAACCTATATTGGATTGTACACAATGACAAAAATTTACAGCCTTAATTTCCACACTGTTTGTGTGTCTCTGTGTTTACTTATGTGGATGATGCATGTGTATGTTTGTGTATAATCAGTACTTCATTTTATACACCTGTTGTGTATCTTTTATATTACAATAGATTTATCAGCAGAACTAAGCAGAAAAATTACAAGATTTTAATGTGTGAAGAAAGAAAGTTGTACGTTAATTAAAATGTTTCTGTGGCCATTTGCTGACATCTGTATGCATGTAGGTGGGCACATAGAGGAGATCTTCTACAACAGAGCCAAATGGAAGCACAAATGGAAAGAAAACCAGATCCTCTCTACCTTTTTATCGCCTCTGAAACTCCAGTCTCAGATCCATGACCAAATTGTCTAATTTTCAGGTTTCCAGAGGCAGTGCCGCCAGTCGCTGATGGGCATGTCTTAATGGTTTTCAGGATATTCTTGTTTAGAGTGTTGCTGAGCAGTTTCCTTCACTCTTTGTGCCTTATTTCAGCTATATTTGTATTTTCACTTGTGTTTGTTTCTACTCTGCCCGCAGGATTCTGTATTCTCTGAGTTTAGACTCCAGATAGGCTGTCTATGCTGTTGCCATAGGTGTCTTTGGGACAAATTGGTTCTACCTATGGTCTAGGGCCTCCCAAGACATTTTATCTGTGTCTCAAGACTGTTATTAAAGTTCCTATGGCTTTAATGTGACCTTGGCTGATGGAATTTGATTATATTCCAGCTGTTTGAATTTAGGCTCTGTGGTAGACTGGCTTGTTGCTTGTGCAATATCTACTCCCTGCTTCTACTTAGTAATCAAACCCAGTTTTGGGGGTCCTGCCTTGTGTCCATCACCCTCATGGATAGGAGAGACCAAGGGGCTAAGCTTGGGCCAATGATTTGTAGGTGGAAGTTGTGGGGTTGTGTTTCTCAAGGGAGGTCTATAATCTCCCTACTTCCTCCTTCCTTTTGCCTAGAACATGGTCCTTTAAGCTGGAGTGCAGCAACCATCTGGTGACCATGAGGCAACCCTGAGAATGAAAGCTACATGCCGAGATGACAGAGAATAAAGACAGAAGGAGGCTGGGGCATGAGTGCATCTCGGAGCTGCCAGACCAGCTCCTGACTGCTGCCCTCTGTGTTTTACGTGAAAAGAAAACAACCCGTGTTTTGTTGAAGCCAGTGGTATTTCTGATGTCTGTTACCAGCAAAAAAATACAATTATTCCCTCCCTACCCTCAACTATCAACAGTTTATCATGAAACTTTTCAAACATAGAGCAAAGTTAAAAGCCTTTTTCAATGAACACCAAATACCCCTACTATCTAGATTTTACGGTGACTATTTTCCTATACTTGCTTTATTATAATCAATCCTTCCGTTCATTCCCCATCAATTCTTATTTATTTATTTCACTCATTTATTTGGTGACTTCTAAAGTAACTTTCAAACATCAGTGCAGTTTACCCTCACTGCTTCAGCACACCTATGACCTAGAACACAGTTCTGAAATGTTGAGGCAACAATGCTGTGTTTGAAACACAAATGTAGGAGTATCTTTCAGTTATATGTTCTAAAGTGATCAGTGGAGTAT